AATAAAGCTGCGCTTTAAGTCTCACTTCCGTGTCTGAGTTCTGCATTTTGGGTCCACCACTCCTGCTTGCCTGCCTGCCACACAGCCAACCATGACAGATTTAGCTTTTTGTTAAAGTTTAATAACATGAGAGCATCTTCCACGATAAATAGAAAAATTACATCAGGTCACTGGCTCGTTGCTGGCTGGTTGCCTCATGTCAGAGATTATTATCATTCCTGATGAGCCTCGGTGTAGTGAAACCAATCGTGTGAATCCAAAACTGAAAAAGTGGAGAACTGCTCGTGTGGACAAAGGCACCTGTAAGCTCGGGGTTGTGGAGCAGCGGTTACCCACAGTGGTTTCCCACAACAAGTCACTGCAGTTCAAGCTAAACAATCTAAACAAATGATAAAGACCCGCGTCTCCACTGCAGGTTAGAAGAGATAAGCTACACAGCAGAGAGGTTGCATTGTGGGGTAAAAAACAGCCATTGACCTCATTAGTGACCCATACATTCTGGTCATTCCTCCATTAAACAGATACGCGTCACAAAGATATTCAGATTGGACGCTGTGCAGCTGCAGACACAGTCATACGGGGTTTTTAAAGCAAATCATCCTTATTGTAACAACTCTAAGATTATTGATGAGTCTATGACATGTTTAAGAAAATATTTATCGGCCTGACCTCTTTTCTACTTGAGCCCGAGCAGCTGTTACTTTCCTTTTGATTTGTTGTATCGATGAACTTTGTCTCCCTTTGTCAAAATGCTAAACTGATGCTTCACTTGATTTCACGAGCAGCCAGTACTAACAGATTTTCAGCAAAATCTACAATCTGTTAAGAAAAGATTACTCATAGAGCTGTTTTAAAAATCATATTTGGGTTCATGACCTACTTTTACCTACATGACAAATTGCCTGTGTGGTTAGAGGTACATGCATTGGTTTAATAGCCCGTTCACAGAAGAACCCTTGAACTCAATAACTCAGTTCTGCCATCATTATATAAAATTTATACCCAGCACGATGCTTCAGGCAGCTCGAGACCTCTGATCTTCTTTAATGTTCGGTGTTGGCTACAACACTCATGTCGAGCGTTTCCTACTGATTTAAAAATCGCCCACGGCAGAAACTGCAGACTTATCATTCGTTTAAATAATACAAGCGTCAAATGTTTCAGGTAGATGTGACACGATCTATAAATATGCATCAGATGTGTACTCACGGTGTTTTAAGTTCAGGTCCACGCAGCAGTGCACAGGATGACGGCCTCTGTTTCAGTCAGTTTCCACTGATACTGACTGTTAAGTATGATGATCTGTGTCCCCTCCTGATGCACTTTACCCTCATGGCTCCTGGCCCAGGGCATCCATTGCCCAATCAAACTTTACCTCCTTGGTTGGACTCATGATGTCATACACAACATTGGACTGTGCCCTAATGTCTCACTTATCCAAGATACTTAATACAAATTTCATTCATATCATGTATTTTGTGCGCTATGTTAAAGGTATATGATCTGGGTCAAACGTCAAACCAAAATAGTAAATATCGCAGGTCTATTTAGCATCTACAAATATGCTCTTATTTGAAAAAGCATGTTGCTTATTGTTAAAGCACAGCTGTGTGTGGAAACAAGGCGATGTTTCCACACTGATCTGCTCCAGTTAAAACTTTAGAGTAGATAATGAATGAACTGGGCAAAAGTGTGTGTTTCAGGAGTAACTGGTGAACTTGAGAGAATTGTACATTGTGGGAATAAATATTATAAAGCTCAAAACATTTCCAGAGGAATGCTGTTTGTGTTTGTTTGAATTCAAACCCAGGACACAAAGATGTATGTACTGTATTAATGTATTTGTCCGTTTATCTGAAATGTTACAAATTACTTTCTGGTACGAAGAAAAAAAACCTCTTTATAAATACTATTTTCAAATAAATACATACAAGGTTAGAATGATTTATTTTGATTTAAAACAATCCCCCAAACTTCGTGCTGTTCAACTTGATG